TCACTTTCACATTGAAGAGCAGACCCACACACCTTTCAGTCAGTCCCTCAACTAGTGGAGGTAGTCGTGATGGGACCATTGAACAGACAGACCGTTGCACACAGACTGCACTCATTCACTCCCCTCTATGGCCATCACTGTCTGTCCAGCCAAATCCACGCTGCCTATGCTGCACTCACTGCACACCAATGGCTGGATGGATGCCTGTGTGCACCAGAGAAGATGCGATGGACCTGAGTGAGGAACGAAGGCCACACACTCACAAAAAACGCTGCAGTGACTGCAGCAGAAAGAGCCAATCACTCACTGCAATCAGTGCCACACGTCCCCTCTGACTGACTGACACCAGCAAGTCTGACAAGGCAGGCTAGGCAGGCTGCTCGAGAGAAACAAGGCAGCCCCGCTCCCTCCCTCCCTCCCTCCTTGTTGGATGGGATCAATTGGATGCCCAAAGTCAGTCAATCAGCCAGGCGACTGATTAGTCAAAGTCGACTCCATCGGTCAGCTCACTCACTCGAGAGAAGAATGAAACAAAGAAACGACACACACCAGACAGACACATATCAAATCCTTCAAGGCTATCCTATTGCATCACTCAAACACGGCCTTATGTCTCTCCAGAAAGGCCTTGAGTGTTGAGCGTCGTCCAGTGAGAATCTCCACATCTCGGTAAGGCTTCTCGATCATACCGTTCCACATGAATGGAATGAGCGCCCTGACGAAGTCGACCGCCCAGTCCGGCGCCCCGTGGGTGCGCATCGCCGCCATCCCCTGCTCCAGCTCCACTGACACGTACTGCACTTCCTTCCCTGATGGGCAGTCCAGTCCACAAACCCCAATTGCCATCGATGGATGGCATCCACACATAAACACACACGATGAGATAGACACACATCAACACAACACAGTTGACACAAGACACATTCGTTCTTCTCTCTCCTCTGTCGTCTGTCCCGCTGGCTCAGTGACCCACTCCACTTATTCACCACTTACCGAGGATCTGTGACAGCAGATGTGTGACGTCCTGCATCGTGACAGTCTCCGGCCCGCTGACGTCGACCACCCGCAGCGCTGCGGGCCACATGGGCGGCGTCAGCATGATGGCCGCAGCGCTGGCCCCAATGTCTTGAGGGTCGACAGGCGCGAAGTGGGCGTCTTTCATTGGCAGAAAGATGGAGCTGGCATTCCTGACCGACGAGCCAAACTCGAGGAAATTCGACTGCACACACACACACACACACGCGGGCGCATCGACACACACGAACGGCGTCACTTTGTGTGCCCACCATGAAGTAGCCTGCTCGCAGCGTGGCGGCGCGGTGAGGGAACAGATCGGCAGCGACCTTCTCGGAGTGCTCAAATTGCTCAATGGACAGCGGATGATTCATCATGACAGTCCATGACGACACCACCACCACCCACCCTGCCATTCACACACACACGGACACACACACCGACACACACACGCATGAATCGTCAGCGGCAATTGTCTGTTGCCATCATGCCAACCTGGGGCGACGTTAGCCTTCTTGGCAGCGTGCAGCATCTTCTGCGTCTGAGGGCCTCGGGTGGCGGTGGTCGGTGTGACGACCAGGAGGCTCGTGCAGCCCTCAAAGGCACTCAGGAGCGAGGCCTCGTCGTCGGCGTCCACCCCGCAATGGAACTGCAGCCGTGGGTCGTCTTGTTTCCTCCCCAGTGTGTGGAGGATCTTGCCCTTCTTGTCCTCGCTGCGCACAATGCACCTCACTACACCTTTCATGCACACACAGAGGGAGGGAGGGAGGGTGGAATTAAAGCAGCAAATGGGGTGAACAGAACAGCGCTCTCCCCCCCTCTCTCCCTCCCGCCGTCTTGTGCTGTCAGTGGAGTGCACCTTTCATGTGTGTGAGGTCCAGGGTGTCGCACAGATACCGGGCACACGAGAGGCCGCTCTGCACCACACCGCATTGCCACCAGTCACATCACCAACAGATAGATTGATGGCCACTAGGTGAGTCGTCCATCTGCCGCCCTAGCTGTGCCCTCCTCACTCAATGATCCATCGCTCACCTGTGAGTTGGCAGTGATGATGCCGTAGCACGGCACAGCAGGGGAGGAGTTCTCCGTCTGCCCAGGCATCATGGGAGGATGAAAGAAAAACACCAAGACTTTGCGAGCTCCGCAGCTCCGAACCTGGCCAATTCTTCTCGCCGGCAACTGCATCGGAGGTTCCCTCCGACTCAGAGAGAGATCTTCCCTTTAAGTCGCCAGGTGTACGAATCGTTTCTCACGTCTGCGGCTCCGCCATGATGCGTTCAGGATGCGTTTTGGCTTCGGCATTGTCCTGGTGGTCGGCCTGGCGGCCATTGTGCAGCCGCTGCTGGCAGCCCAGCGCACCCATGGCCAACGTAAGCCACAGGGAAGCCACACCGCACCGATCCGACCACACACATGGCAGATCTGTTGACCCATCTCATCTTGTGTGTCGTTGCTGCTTTTCGGCTTGTGTGGTTCCTTCAGATGTGTCGACGGTGGAGTTGTCGATGGTGCAGCAGCAGATGCAGATGGGCAGGGCCATCTACCAGTCCGCCATGAAGCTCAACACCGCGGCGAACGAGCTGACCATTGCGGCCAACGAGCTGACCGACTCGGCCATCCAAGCCATCAACGTAGCCATCGATAAGGCTCATAGCATCGCGATGATGCAAATGACAGCCGCAACCGAATCCCACCAGCAGCAGCAGGGTACACACACAGGAACAAACACTTGTTCCCTCCCTCCTCCCTGACAATGAACTATGCATTGTGTTGGTGTGGATTATGTATGGCTTGTGCAATTCAGTCAAACCGTGCTTGCTGTCAGACAACTTCAGTGTGAGACAGTCGTTTTGCGGCACGGGTGACGTCTGCGTGATCCACACGGCCGAGAATCGTGGCGGCACGGTGCGCTTTTACGGCGTCTGCGCCTCCGACGACGATCTGGCGGCCAAGTGCCACAAGACCACGGACCAGGGCGAACGGCCGAAAATAGCGTACTCGTCGGAACCAGATAAAGTGAACCCGTATGTCTTCCTCTTCATTAGCGGGTCCAAATTCTGCTGGGGCAAGGACTTCACGAGTGTGTAGGCGCGAGTGGGTGAGGGGGGGGGGAATGGATGCGGTGCGGTGGAGTGAGTGACAAGGGGGCGGTCGTAGCTGGGCCGTATCGGAGGGAGGGAGGGGGGTGGGTGTGAGTTGGCCTGTCTTGTCTGTCCGTCTCTCTCTCTGTCTGTCTGTCTGCGTACCGCCTGCCTGCCCTCTGTCTGGCTGACCTCCCCCGTGTGTGTGTAGGACAACTAAGCATCCTATGGATCCTCTGGCTGTGGTGTGTCTTTCAAGATGCCAACATTATGGTTGGTTTGCCTGCCTGCCATGCGCCTGGCTGTCTCCCTTTCCTTTTCTCTCCCTGTCCACCGCACCCATGGCATGGCATGGCTGCAAGTGTGTCGACACCAACACAATCCCTCTCACACGTTGGCTTGCTTCGCACGTGTCGCAAAACAGACAGATACACACATCACACCTTGTGGATATATCGAGGGATGGGTGGGTGGATAGCATAGCTGGACGGAACGGACGGCCGGAGAATCCATTCATTCTTGCATGCTGTGTGGGCTGTCTGTCTGTCTGGCTGTCTGTCTGTCTGTCTGTCTGCATATGGGTGTGTGTATCTGCGCGTACGTAACGACGAGGGACGCACCAACGAATGAACGAACGAACGAACGGATCAACGAAGAAAATGCCCCACACACGGATGGCAAAACTTTCTGGTCTCTTGAACAGCAGCCACACACAGTGCAGTGCCACGCACGTCACAAGGCCTTCACGCACTGCGATAGTCGTCTGCAGAAGAGGCCTAGCGAGGGACCTCAGGCCTTACATAAGTCACTGCTAGCTGCTGGCATCTATACAAGAATGCGCCGGGAGCTCTGTCTCCTGGCAGACGGTCCACAGACACACACACACACACACACACACACACAGAGAGAGAGAGAGAGAGAGAGAGAGAATGATTCCTCTTACGAGAAGGTGAATACATGTGTGGCCGACCGAGAGCCCTGTCCTGGCCAAAAAAAGCTCGCACCTCTGCGAGCTTAGCTTACAGAAAAGGGAGAACAAAATGTCAGACTCTCAGCAGGAGGATGGCGAGATGCCGACAGCGACCAACGGCACGACCAAGAAGAAGGTCAAGCGGCGCGACAAGGAAGCCGAGGAGCCCACCGCCGCGCCCAGGGACGCCGAGGCAGCGGCAGCCCCCTCTTCCAGCCTGCTGGCCAACGCACACACGCAGAAGGATCTCAAGACGGACAGGCAGCTATATGAAATCATCAGAGGTCAGAAGTCAATCATCAGGGTGCATGAGGTTTGCTGTGTGTTGTGTATCTGTGTGTACTTGCAGGTTCTCGTGTGTGTGAGGATTCCAGGAGGAATGCGGAGCGGCCACACAAGTTCTGGGACACACAGCCGGTGCCCAAGTTCAAAGACGAACTCAAAGACGCGGTCAGCGACACGCCTGCAGACAGACAGACAGACAGGCCGACACAGACAGAGAACTCATGCATGATGTGGTGTGGTTGTGTGCATCCATCGTCTTCCCTGTGGCTGGGTGTATTGTATGCAGGCGTGTGGTCCATTGGAGGAGGACAAGACGCCTGGTGAGGTGCGTCAGGAGCCGTACGCCTTGCCGGACCAGTTCGAATGGGCCACCTGCGACGTCACGGACGAGAAGGAAATGACCGAGGTCCGATCCGACAGGCAGACAAGACAGCCACTGGCGATAGATAGACAGGAGCTACGCACAAGCTCTGTGTGCCATGTCGGTGTGTCTGTGGGTGCTTATGGGTGGTGTGGTGTGGTGTGGTGTGGGTGCGGTGCAGATCTACACGTTGCTGAGTGAGAACTACGTGGAGGATGACGACAACATGTTCAGGTTCGACTACTCTGTCGCATTCCTGCACTGGGCGCTCACGCCACCAGGTGGGGTGGGTGGGCATAGACCAACGGCCGTTTCTCGTCCCATCTGTCTGTCTGTCTGTGTGTGTGTGTGTGTGTGTGTCTGACCTTGTGTGTGTAGGTTTCGTGTCTGATTGGCATGTGGGTGTGCGGGTCAAGGACAAAAAGAAGAAGGTACGGGGCCGGGATGGGATGAGATGGGGATAGGATGGGACACCGTCCACCGCTGATGATCATGGATGGCGTCATTGCGTCTGATTGATTCGATCAGCTGGTCGGCTTCATCACGGGCATCCCCGCACAGATCAGGGTGCGTGCCGTGCCGTCACAGCCCAGCCGCAGGGCAGGGCAGGGCAGGGAGGGGAGAGGGCTGCAGCCAGCCAGCCCCTCACACACACGCACCCATGGCATGGATGGTGCGTGCGTGATGCGATGCATGTGTGTGTGACAGATATACGACTCGGTCATCGACATGGCCGAGATCAACTTCCTGTGTGTGCACAAGAAGCTGCGGTCCAAGCGGCTGGCGCCCGTGCTGATCAAGGAGATCACACGGCGGGTCAACCTCACCAACAGATGGCAGGCCGTCTACACCGCCGGCGTCACCCTCCCGAAGCCCGTGGCCTCTTGCCGCTACTGGCACAGGTCACTCAACCCCAAGAAGCTCTTCGAGGTCAGTCAGTGAGTGAGTCTGGTCGAGTCGAGCTCTGCAGACAGAGGCAGACTTGTTGTGAGTTGTGTTGTGTGGTTGGTTAGGTCGGTTTCAGTCACCTGGGTCGTCATATGACGATCAGCCGTGCCATAAAGCTCTACAGGCTGCCTGACGACCCTGTGGTGAGAAGCCGAGCCAGCGAGCCAGGGCAGGATGGACCTATCAACACGCACACGGTGGATGGCTGGGGTGTGGGTGTGGTTGTGGGTGTGTGTCGGTTCGGCAGCTGGAAGGCATTCGTGGGATGGAGGCGTGTGACATCCCAGAGGTCACACGGCTGCTCGCCGACTACCTCAGGTGCGTGAGCGGGCGACCTACAACCACACACACAGACACATACACACACACACTCACTCACACAGGGGGGAAGATCTCTGAACACACACACCAGTGGAGTGGTTTGTTTGTGTGGTGTTGATTGTCAGTTCGTATCAGCTGCATCCGACGTTGGACGAGGAGGAGGTGCGCCACTGGCTCATGCCGCGGGCGGGGGTCGTCTACTCGTACGTCAGAGTCATCAACAGTGAGCTGAGCATTGATTTGATTCAACACACACATTGACAGACAGGCTGGTGCGTGTGTAAAGCGCGTGTGTGTTTGTGTGTGTGTTTGTGTGTGTGGGGATGCATCTCTTGTGGCAGAGGAGGTGACGGATTTCCTGTCGTTTTATTCGCTGCCGTCGAGCGTCATCGGCAACGAGAAACACAAAACACTTTGGGTACACACACACACACACACAGGGAGAGACAGAGAGAGACAGAGAGACGGTCAGCCATCGACGGCGTCGACCGATCCCATTCGATCAGGCTGCGTACTCCTATTACAACGTGGCCAAGACGGTGCCGCTCAAGGACCTCATGAACGACGCACTCACTCTGGCGAAAATCGAGTAGGAACGGAGAGGCGGGGCACTCATTCCTCAATCACTTGCCGGTGATGATCTGTCTCCCTCCTCATGTGTGCTGTGCTGTCCTCTGTTTGAAGGGGGTTTGATGTGTTCAACGCACTGGACGTCATGGAAAACGATAAAATACTCAAGGTGATTGGATTGGATTGGATTGGACGATGGAGCGAGTGACGACTGTCTGTCGACCTGCTTCTTGTTGGTGTGAATGAATGAGGGTTCGTGTGTGTGTGTGTGTGTGTGTGGCCTTCTCTTCGTGTGTCAAATATGTATGTGCCTGCTGCCAGGATTTGAAGTTTGGCATCGGCGACGGGTTCCTGCAGTACTACCTATACAACTACAGATGCCCCGAGGTACACACACACACACACATGACACACACACACACACATGACACACACAGATACAGACCGTCTGTCGACCTGCTTCTTGTTGGTGTGAATGAATGAGGGTTCCCCCCTGTCCCTTTTTTTTTTGCCTTCTCTTCGTGTGTCAAATATGTATGTGCC